TGAAGGCAAGAGGAGAAAGGGACGACAGAGGACGAGATGGTTGGACAGTGTCATCGAAGTTACCAACATGAATTTGACCAAACTTTGGGAGGCAGTGGAAGACAGGAGGGCCTGGCGTGCTCTGGTCCATGGAGTCATCAATAGTCGGACATGACTTAACGACTAAACAACAACACAAGTGGTATGAGGGACAAGCATCAGTACAAGTAGAGAACAACATTCATGTTGAACTGCATTTCTAAATCAAACAAAACTCTGAAATGTTTTATTAAAGATAGAACTCTCTCAATCTATTATGTGAGGCAGAAAGGCCTGAAAGAAGGAAAAGAAAACAGTGTAGAATGATCCAGAATACCAAACTTACTTACTTACTTACTTACTTACTTACTTACTTACTTACTTACTTACTTACTTACTTACTTACTTACTTACTTACTTACTTATTTTATACCCTGCCTATCTGGTAATTGCGACCACTCTAGGCAGCTTCCAGACAACATTAGGATAAGTTTGGGATTCAATTCCATTTCCTGGAATGAAACAGTGTTTTTTACCATTCACATTCTTTTTCTCTTGAAGCAGTATATTTATAGTATTACAGATATGTTCACTCTGGATTTTTAGCAGTAATTGCCATGGGTAGAAAAACAAGCTTTTAAATAATCCATAGAGTTACAAAAAGTTGAAATAAGTACTCCTTGCAACTTGCCTCACACGGAAGCCCTTTTGAACCTTGTTTTGTAGCACATGTGCTTATAGCCCAGGGCAAAGATCTATGCAATATTTACTAAAGTTATATTCTGTTTTGTTGGTCTTTTGCAAAAAACCACACTTCTGCCAAAAAAACAAGCCAAAAAAAAGCCACAGCACTTACGCATTTCTGCAAACAGCTGCCTCCTTTCTGCCATGGTAGTTCCTCTTTTCCCACAGTCTTCAATCATTCTAGGCAATAAAAAGATTAAGCATATCTTCAGAAACATTAATAAACTAAACATATTCACAAGAATGTTCATAATATTCCAGTGTACTATTTCCCCCTGTAATATGCCCAACGAGCTCTGAGAAGATCTTTGGTAAACAATTATGATTTACGTTTTGTACTCAAGCATCTACTGCCTTCCAGGGCTGTCTGCAAGTCTCTGGATCTGAATTCCAAGTCTGAGTCTTTGGTACCAAGTTCCAAGCCCCAGGTCTAAGTCCCTATTAAAAACAAACTCCCCCCCTTAAAAAGAGAGGGGGAGGGTTCCAAATCACAAGTCGAGCCCAAGTAATTAAAAAAACACCCAACAACAACCACCCTGAGTTGAGTCTGAGTTGTGTTGCCAGTGCAACTTAAACCCGACTTGACAGCGAATCCCCATCCCTCCTTTCTTCTGCCTTTGCCCCCTCTTAAAAAACACACACTTATTTTCTGTTTAAAATTAAGAGTCCAAGCTTTCTATACAGTGTTTGTATTATTTTATTCTGATTGTGTTTTAATATTGTGTTGTTTGTCTTCTTGTTGTTAGCCGCCCAAAGTGGCCTGGCTTCCAGATGATGTGGGGTATAAATCTAATAAATAAATCAATAAATATTTGGTCATGCGGTTATTTTAGGATAGAACTCCAACCCCTTTTCACAGTAAGTCTATTAAAATCCTAAACAAGTCAATGGTTCTACCGATGTGGGTGGCCAAATGCTGGATCTGGTCTTTGGTGCCTAGCAGAGAGAGTGTGCTCCAATGGTGGCCGACTCAGTATCAGCCCCCTTGTCATGGTTGGATCACCACCTAATTAAATGCAGCCTGTCAGTGACACTTCCCTCCCGTGAGGAGCTTGGACCCATTAAGATGGTCTGCCCCCGCAGGTTATCGGATCCTGATGGATTCTAAGATACCATGTGGGGAATTCCAGCTGACTTGGTTGGCACTCCTGTCAATGCTCTGGTGAATGGCTGGTATAACTCCCTCTCTGCTCCTGAGCCTGACCAGCCCCTTGGCTTAACCAGCAGCTGAGGGCCATGAAGTGTAATCAGAGAAGGCTAGAGAGCATTTGGAGAAGGGCCAAATTAATCTAAAAACTGACAGGATTGTGTCTAATCTTTACCTAGCTAGGGTAAAGGCTGCTAGAAGGGCGTTCTTCACTGACGGGATAAGCAAAGCTCATAACCAGCTGGCAGTACAGTACATGATCTATCTGGAGTAAGCAACAGTGACAGGCCTCCCTCTAGTATTTCCTGTGACCAATTTGCAGAATTTTAAAAATCTAAAGCAGAGGCCATTCGCTGGGATCTTGATCCCTTTTTATAGACAGTAGATCGAGGTGAGATGTCTAGTGCATTGTCTTGCCCAGTGAGGTTAACTTGCTTTCAACCTGTGACGTCCAGTGAAGTGGAGAGGGTGCTTGCACACTGTCGTGCCACCACTTCCTCTTTAGACCCTTGTCCGGCCTGGCTCATCAAAGCAGTCAAGCCAGTAAGAACAGAATGGGCCACTGCAATAATTAATGGGTCTCTCCAGGAAGGCATGGTTCCCTCTGCCCTCAAGGACACACTCATTAGGCCTTTGCGAAAGAAGCCTAATTTGGAGGCAGACGAAATTGAGAATTATAGGCCCGTTGCCAATGTTTCTTTCTTGAGCAAAATGGTCAAGAAGGTGGTGGCTGATCAGCTCCAGACCCTCTTGGAGGAAACTGATACCCTTGATCCATTCCAGTTGGACATCAGGCCACGCCATAGTATGGAAACAGCATTGGTTGCCCTGAAGGATGACCTGTTGAGGGAGGCTGACAGGGGCAATATGTCCTTGTTGGTTCTCCTCAATATCTCAGTGGCCTTTGATACCGTCAACCACGGTATCCTCCTGGGGCAGCTCTCCGAGTTGGGAATCGGTGGCCTTGCTTTGGCGTGGCTCTGTTCCTTCTTAGAGGACCGTCCCCAGAGAGCGCAGCTTGGTGAGATGACTTCTACCCTGTGGATCCTCAATTGTGTGGTTCCACAGGGGTTGATCATCTCGTCAATGCTGTTTAATATCTATATGAGACCGCTAGGTGAGGTCATCTGCAGTTGTGGGGCTCGGTGTCATCAGTACGGTGATGACACCCAGCTCTACCTCTCCTTTTTTTCAACTGCAGTGGATGCTGTTCTGACCCTTGAAAGCTGCTTGTGGACCGTTCTGGAGTGGATGAGGGCAAATGGACTGAGGTTGAATCCGGACAAGACAGAAATCTTGCGCATGGGTGGCCCTGGCATCAGTGGGTTGGGAAACTCCCTCTCCTTTGGGGGAGTGACTCTTCCCATAAAGAATGAGGTTTACAGCTTGGGCATCTGCCTGGACCCAGATCTCACCATGGAAATCCAGGTGGCATCTGTGGTCCAGCAGCCCATTTCCATCTTTGAAGGATTGCCCAGATGCATCTCTATGTAGATGTGGGGGCATTCACGATGCTGATTCATGCCCTTGTAATCTCAAGAACAGACTACTGCAGTGCTCTCTACATGGGGCTACCCTTGAGGCTGATGCGGAGACTTCAACTGGTCCAAAATTCGGCAGCCAGGTTAATAACTGGGGTAGAGAAATTCCAGCACATCTCCCCCACTCTGGCCCCTCTTCATTGGCTACCGGTTCATTTCCGCATCAACTTCAAGGTTATGATGATAACATTCAAAGCCCTAAACAGTTTAGGGCCTTAGTACCTATCAGAATGCCTGCTCCCAGCCAGATCTGTCTGTAATACTCATTTTTCACAGACAGGTTGAGGACCTTGACCCCGAAGGAGACTCAGAGGAAAAGAACAAGAAACAGAGCCTTCTCGGTGCTCGCCCCCCACCTATGGAACAACCTGCCCATTGAGATCCGCCTGGCATCCTGGCTGGATGGGTTTAAACGAGCCTTGAAGACTTGGCTCTTTTGTCAGGCTTTCCTGGAGCATTAAGATCTCGGCCTCTCTTTTACCATCCTTTTTGTCATCCTCTCCATCATCCTTTTTACCATCTTTATTGCCATTTGTTTTAATTTACCCTATTTGGCTTGTATTAATTAATTTATTTTTATCATGTTTTAATATTGTTTATATTGTTGTTTAGCCGCCCAGAGTGGCCTGGTTGCCAGATGGTGTAGGGTATAAAATCAATAAACAAACAAACAAACAAACAGATACTGCTTTTACAAGGCTGTTAACGGTAGATTTATGTCAATGTAACACAAGTGTAATTTCTGCATAACACAACTGGGAGACTTTGAAAACGACATGGCTTTGAAGAACAACTTGCTCTTTGCTCTGCTATATACCCAGTTTCTTTTAGACAGAAACAAACAATTTTAACATTTGCCAGCTCCAAGGAAACTTGAGGAAAGAGGATCAGATCACTAGATTGCTGGTGTCTTATTATGTCTTCCAGAAGAACACCTGTGCAAACAAATATTACGCTGGATTTGGGTATGTAAAATGAATTCTGATGCAAAATGAATGGCAGTCTGTTTTGCTGAAGTCCTATCTTCTGGCCTGGTAAAAGCCTGGTAAAGAGCAGGTTAAGTGATTGGGTTGGGTGGAGTCATTTTTGCAGTTACCAACTTCAGCAGTCCTTGATATTAGTTGAAATGCAGAAAGGTTATTGCAGAGCCCCTCTTGCCTTAATGGATTTACAGCTGCACTGAATCCCTTGTTGCATTTCTTCTCACAATACAGTTCTCTAGCAGCAGGCCTTTCTGAGCTACATATTTTGGCACTAATCTTTGGCTAGATCATAAAATTGCTCCTTGCTCTTTTCTAAAGCTACTTATATTTGTCACACACTCACCGTATTTGCCTGTACTGTGTTTGGATGAGCTTCTTATGGTTTTAGAGAAAAGAAGAGCTCCTAATTCACACCAAGTGTGGCAACACCGTAACTGTATCTTTTGCCTCCTTTTTCAAATATCTGCATTACAAACATCAAAACTATCTCTCAACAGTGGGAGAAAATCCCAGCAGGCTCCTTTCATTCAAATCTGTCTTCCATTAGTTCTACGAGTTTTGAAGATACAGTTGGAAATACTGCATTGACTAAATTCTGGTGATGGGAGTAATAAATATATTTCTTTTTATTTGACGGTAAACACTAAGCGATAAATGAAAATAAAAATAATAAATAAATAAAATATAAAAATGAAATGAAATGAAATGCAAGAGATTCATGAGCAAATCTCCTTTTCCATTTTTTTAAAATTTTCAAGCATCTGCTGGGGACTCCATTTTTATTGATGCAGTATGTGTACAACTGGGTTAACTCCCCATGCCATTTCCAGCTCTCTAAAGCACACCTGTAGTTGCTCTTAGTCCCACAAGGAAAGTACAAGCTCTTATTATGACTGTATTTTCCCCAGCAGGGCTAACAGCAGCTTTGGAGGGCAAATTATATCAGAAAAATATAAGCTATGCTGTGCCAATCAATGCCATAGCCCACAAATATTTCCCGAAAAGGGAAAATATCAGAAGACCCCATGACAGATTTCCTACATCATATTTGTTTTGACCCATTGCTAACAACGGGGTAAAATATACTCCTAAAAGACTGGACATTCAGATTCAGATTAAGACTTGGCCTTATGTAGTATAACAACAACAGCAGCAGCAGAAACAACAACAACAACAATGTGACTTTTCAGGGTTTTCTAGGTAGATACTACTCAGAAGTGGCCTATCATTGCCTTCTTCTAGGGGGCGTCCTGGGACTTTGCAGCTTGCTGGTTCTACTCGGAGGAGCACAGTGGGGAATCAGATTCTCAACCTATGGCTTTTCAGCCAGATACCCAACTCATTGAGCTATTCAGCCTGCTCTATGTAGTATAAACTGATTGAAATCTATGGATATATGCTGTTTATCACTAAGAGCTTCTGTTCACTCCAATAGGTCTAATCTAAATAGTACTAATGTTTCATTTAGCCACTAGAATACAACATGATAGTATAGTGGAAGGGCTGCAG